GTGGGGGTGGGGGTGGGGGTAATATATTTGTGGGGTTGGTTAAATCTGAGAGAGATGAAGAAATCGAAATGCTGTCTTTTTCCTGGATCTCTTTCTCTGCTCTCACTAGTCACTACTATAAGTATTTCAGAGCCAAGTTTTAATTTTTATTTTCTTTATTTTTAATATTTTCTTTATTTTTTCCACTTTAAAATAATAATATAATATCTGAGTCTTCCTACAGACAGAGTTAGCCAAGTGTTCTTCCCTCTTTAAACTCTATTCTTTCCTTCTTATCTATGTCTGATGTGTCAATACCACCACTCTATGCAGACAAAATTATAGTCTTACAAAATCCAAAAAAGTTAACCACCTGATATACATTTAAAAAAAAATAATATTCTGGTATATTCCCACTATACTTTATTTGGAAATAATTAAAATTGTGTTTATTACCGTCAGTCTAATCACATACGGAGTTACGGTAGAATATACTTAATGGAAGAGTTACGTTGTATATATAAAAATTAAAATGTAAAGTTCAATTCTGATTTGTAAGACAAATACAAAAACTAAGTTAGGCCCAGCCGAAATAGAAGTGGGAGGAGAGTGCCGCCGCGGAGGTCAGGGCGGAACTAGGTGGGCGGAAGAGTCGCCAAAAATTATATTGTGTATATAGTGTCGGTTAAAATTCTGTATTAAAAACCAGAAAATCAAAAGACATGAGTTTAGTTAAGAAAACAAAAACAGAAAATTCCGAGTTCATAAGTTACTTGTGTGTCCTTAAAAAATTTAATACCCCCACATGACGATGACGATGACGGTGCGAGACTTGCTCTCTTCACAACTCTTTAAGAGCTAGAAGAACTGCTTATACATATAAGCACAAAAAATTTCATCTTCCTATCCAATGAGGGACAAAGTTTCTTTATAAAATAGACTAATTCAAAATTTCATTTCCCTTTATTTATTTTTCCACCATTTTCCATTCACACTTCTTCTGTTTTAATTGACAAAGCCCAAAAATGTAACTTTTTATTTCATGTTTAAAAAAATTATTTAATCAATTAAATATCAATAATATATATTTACTATGTGGTGTTATTTTTCCTGTTTTTATTTTTGGTGCTACATCTTCCTTGTCATGTTCTTCCCCTTCTTCTTTCTTTCTCTTATTCACCTTTTCTTGAAACGAGGGTCTACCATAAACAGTCTCTTTACCTTATCAAGTAGGAGTAAGGTATGCGTACAAATTATACTCTCCAGGCCCCAATGTTGGATTATACTGTATCTGTTATTGTTGTTATTATGTGTATGTGTGGCTTTAATTTTTTTTTTCTACTTTTAATCATTAGTCTTCTTTAGGCACCAAAGGCCATTCATTCTGTCATTCTATTACTCCATCGAGTCAAGAGTCTCCCGGAAACAATTTCTACCTCTCCGGGTAGGGATAAGGTCTGCGTACACTCTATCTTCCCCAAACTCTATTAGTGTATTATTACTGAGTTGTTGTTGTTGTTGTTATTACTCCATCCAGGTAGCAATATGGCTATTAAATTTTTAACCAATAAACTCTTAGCTGACGAACTAAATGGAAGTGCCAGAATCTCTTTTGCACTTTGCACCCTGATTAACATGTTGTCTTTTTTCTGTTTTTGCAATTCACACACACCTTATTCTTTTACTTTTTATCCTAATAATGTCCGTATTCTTTTTTCTTTTTGGCAAAATCATGAACACGTTTAAGTTGTATCCCCTCATCATTTTTCTTAAGCAAATATTTCGGTAGAATTTCATGTAAGATTATGTTGACTCGTCTTTTGCAATCTATTAATAAGATTTTGTAGTACCTCAATACACACGTGTGATTATTTGAGGGATATAATTGGAAAAAATAGAGTAAAAACTTTAAATCGTGCATGGCTATCCATTTTGGAAGTCAGACATGGTATTGAATAGCGATTGGACTAATGCGAGAAATCAATACATTCAACTGTTAGATTTGGGTGCCTCCATTTAATATACTATACCAACCAACCCTTCAATCCTATTTATGGAACACAACTTGTCTCTTCAAGTTAAAATTTTCTTATCTTTTTGAAGTACTTAAATTTCATTAAATTTCCTCCAACAATCTTTACATTTCGAGAGACAAGAACCCTTCGTACTTCCCTTTTTTCTCCATTTAATTTTCATTTGAATTTCAAAGCTTTGTTTTGCTCAATGAGACTTGTCTTTTTCCTCAAAGTTTCAAAATCTTGAGTATACCTTAATCCATTCTCTTTCATTACTTGTATTGCATCCATGTTTAGCCACAATCATTACTCCATCCGGTCTTAGTTTAATTGATTTTTTAGCCGATTTTATACATATTAAAAAAAAAATACTTTTTAGCATTAATTAATAATAAAATTGATTATATTAACCTTAATTTGTTCATTAAAAATATAACAAATACTCCTAAGCTCTTTACTCTAAGGGCAACTTTGGAAAAAAATAAAATTAATTCCTTATTGATATCTGAAAAAAATCAAATATTATGGACCACAAAAAATGCCAAAAAATCAATTAAAGTGGTCCGGAGGGAGTGCCACTTTGATTTGCGTCCTTGAATCAGAATAATAATAGTAAAGGACGGGTAGTGCTGAATTAGGAACTTATCATTGTCATAGTACTCCCTCCGGTCAATATTAGTTGTCATAGTTACTAAATATATATGATCCAAAATAGATATCGTTTTAGAAAATCAAGGTATAATTATTTTATTTATTTATTTTGCCCTTATTATTAAATGTTCTTGAAAGTAAAAATATTGACTTCATAGCATAGAAAACCTAAAAGTAAAGAGTATTCCCTCCGGTCCATAATAAGTGACTTTTTAGCCTTTGGCACACCCCTTAAGAAAATACGAACTTTTAGAGAAAAAATATGCATTAACTAAATTACCCTTAATTAAAACTTGCATATTGTTACCTTGACTCATTGAGATATGTAAATAAGGGCAAAGTTTGGAAAAATAAAATTAATTCGTTCTTGATTATATAAATTGACACTTATTTTGGACCAGAATAAAATACCAAAAGGTCACTTATTATGGACCGGGGGGAGTATTAAATAAGAGTATAATAGTCAAAAAATGCTCTTATTAATAATTTCTTAAGGTACATGTAAAAGATACACGATAACTAAAATAGACAGGCAAGAGGGAGTAGTATTCAACAATGATAGGAAACTGTATGGTCTCATAGGAACTACTCTAATGTAGCACACCTGTCACGGGCTTAACTCAAGTAAGCAACGTACGGACAACTTAATAGCATGTATGCTACTCACAGTTTTAGTCCTAACCAAGAAATAAGTAAAAAGTCGTGCTTAAGCTATGGCAAACACACACACTCAAGGGATGAAAAGATAATAAAGTAAAAGGCACACAAAGATTGGGAGGCCAAGGCCAATTTTCGGATTTACTTGATATACAAAGGGAAATGCAAAGTATATGAGATATGCCTTCTAGAAAAGCCTATACATGTGTATATATACTAAGAATATCCACTGGCAGATTTGGTGGCAGTGGACCCGTCCAGCTATTGAGCACAACTTTCTGTTGGCATTATGTGACCTCTATGATTATGTTGGTAGGTTGTGGGATTGTGGTCCTATCCAGCTGTGCAACACTTGTTCCTACTGTCAGATAGTGGCCTTCACGATTGTCCTGGCAGGCTGTGGGGCAGTGGCCTCCATGTGCAAAGATCCTCTGGTCTTTGGCAGCCAGATTTGACTCGGCTTATGGCCCTTTAGGCGGGAAAATCAGTAGTGAACTTGGCGGGGCGGTACACTCTCCCCCACTTAAAATGGCGACGACCGCTGCGCCACAAAGTTTCAAGTAATTATGAACTTGATCTTTGAACTGTCATAGATCCTCGTATTTTCCCATGAGGCCTCCTCGGGTGGTTGCCCCCTCCAATGGACAAGAAATTGGGCGCTTGAATTACCCCATCATTTGCCTCGAACCAATTGGTGATCGAATATGGCTTCAACTTTGTTGTCAATGGCTGAGGGGGTTATGAAGATTTGGGCACGACTGGACTGCCCACACTCCATATCATTCTTGTACTCATGGCAGGGCTTGAGCTGGCTAGCATGGAAGACGGGTAGATCCAAATATAGTGAGGCATGTCCAGCCTAAATGAAATCTTGCCAACCTTGGCGGTGATTTCAAACGGACCCTCGTAGCGTCGAATCAGACTTTGATTGATGTCTCTTAGTGACTTGAATTGTCGGGGATTGGGCTTTATCATCACCTTATCCCCGATACGGTAGTGCACTGGCCGCCGCTTCCGATCAATAAACTTTTTCATCTTTCGGGCAGCTTTGTTCAGATAAGACCGCGCCATATCTACCTGCTCCTCCCAAGCTTTGGCCATGTGAAATGCGCCTGGGTTTTTTAATTTTGCACTTACGGGCAGGGATTAAGGTGTGTTCGGCTGCTGTCCCGTTGCAAGCTCAAAAGGGCTCCTCCCTGTGGATTCACTATGCTGCAAATTAAAGGAGAAATGGGCAGTGTCAAGTAACTTTGCATAGTCCTTTTGATTTGCACTCACAAAGTGCCTCAAATATAGCTCCAAGAGCGCATTGACCCTTTCTGTTTGGCCATCCGTCTGAGGGTAAAAACTGGTGGAGAAGTGCAACTCCGACCCTAACAGGCTAAACAATTCCCTCCAAAAAGCACCGGTAAAACGGGGATCACAATCGCTTATTATATATTTTGTGATTCCCCAATGCTTTACAACGTCCCGTAGGAACAAACGTGCTGTCTCTTTAGCTTTGCAGTTGGCGGTGGTGGCAGTAAAAGTAGCATATTTTGAAAAA